AATTTAATTCATGGTGCATCGATGCATGGATTGGTGCATCGGTGCATCACTCTGAAAATTGATTTTAGGCTTGATTTTGGTTCAAAATACTTTGTGAAAATTGTTTCAAAAATATATTAAGTATAAAACACAATTTTACACATTTAGTAAGGTTTGAATTTGATCTTAAAAGACTTGGAGTAATAATTTGATATTCGATTAATTGAATCGAATATACTTAGAAAATCATTTGTAAAATCTTAAAATTCATTTAAACTAATTTGTTATGTCGAAACATAAAAATGTTTTCAATAGTTATATGTGGTCATTCGGGATATATATGTAATCTTTTGGAACATATATGCGGTTCTTCGGGACACATATTTGGTCATTTGAAATATATATGTGATCCTTAAGGAATGGTCCTTCGGGACATATATGTGATCCTTCGGGACATTTATGTGGTCCTTCGGGACATATATGTGGTCATTCGGGATAAATTCAATGTGGCCCTAGTGGGAATTTATACGAGCTGCGGTGACAACATATGTGCACAACCTCTATGTACTCACATATCTTTAGTTATCAGAAGTGTACATGGGCTATTAAAAGACATAGTATAAATAAAGCGTATGTGATGTTATGTGTGTTCATTGATGCAATGTATTATATGCTTTGTATAAATGATAAGTATAAGATTATATGATAAATGAGATTAATGGAAATGATAAGATTATTGATGTTGATAAGGATAATATATGTGTATATATGCATTTTGTTATATGTAATGTTATATGAGTGGTATGACATGATGATATGAAATGTTTTGTATTGTTAAGTAATTAAGTTTCCAGTATACGTTTTATTATGCCTTACTAAGTCAATGACTTAGCATGTGAGTATTTCACACGTAGGTTCTGAGAAGATGAAAAGGGATAGAAGACAGACAAGACAGGTCAGCTTCTCATTTCCAATAATCATATCAGAAAAGAATTGAATTATATGTATTTTATAATATTGATTTTAGTTGGCATGTAAATAAAGATTTAGTAGAATACGCTCTGATCAGTTTTGTAAAACTATATGATTGTATTCAATATAAGTTATTCAATTTTCAATGTAAACTTGAATTGTCAGGTATTTTGTAAAAGAAAACGGTTTGAAAAGTTAATGTGACACTACGGACTCGTATCCGAGTCGGGTACGGGTTGGGGTGTTACATTATTATTTTTAAATAAAAATATTATATTTATTAAAAACCTTGTTTTTTCCTAAAATTATATAAAAAAAACCCCGAATCCCTACAAATCCTAAATTCCTAACCCTAACCTCCCTCCATGGCCGCCATCGTCGACGCCGCCCTTGCCATCTCCCTGGTCAACCGTCGTCTCCCTTGTCGTCATGCCCGTCGTTGGATCGTTTGGGTGTCACAAATTCAGGGGTTTGAGTTCGTCGAAAATGTGATTTTGTATCGCAATTTTGTCGTTTCCTTCGCCGAAGATGTGGCATTTTATGGACGGTTTTGATTTGTTATCAGGAGAGGTTCTGGTGGAGGCTTGATTGACGTCAAACAATATTAGTTGACGTAGGTTTAGGGATTGAAGTTGAAGTTTTCAAAGTTTTGAGTTTTTTTAAGTTTTTCAAAAATTTTAGGTTTTTTTTAATAAATAAATATGTATTTTTTTTATTTTAAATAACTATTTAATTATAAGAACTTGACATATATCATTTAAAGATGAAATTTAACGTCAATTACGACCCAGATACCTAAAATGATAACATTTGTAATATTAGCATGGCTATCAAAATCGGACCGGACCGGTCGGTTGAACCGTGAACCGGTGGCATGTTTGGTCCGGTTACCTCACAAAACCAGTATGTACTCACCAAAAGGCTCCATGATTTTGAATGTCAAATTACCTCTATTATTTATAGAAGTAAGTTGGGATGCTCTTATATGTTTCTTAGTCATGTAGGATTGTTTTTAAAAAAAAAAATTAAACCAAATAACATCATTTGTTATGATCTTTTTAAGCCCCAATTTTATTTTTTTTATTATAGTTATATAATTATATTTATTATTTAATATGTTTTACCTTAAATATTATATTGTAGTTGATTTGAATCATTTTGTTTCACTTGATTTTATGGTTTTTAATTTATATATGTCATGACTTGTGATATTTTTATACCTTTTAATATTGTAAACTTAAAAAATGTGTTACATATATATTAATATTGCTTTGAATATTATGTAAAATTAAAAAAAAATTATTTTATATAAAATCCGGTTCAACCGCGGTTGAACCCGGTTGAACCAGTGAACCATTACCTTCACATGTTTTATGTCCGGTCCGGTTTTAAAAACATTTGTAATATTAGACACCTAGATGATTAAAAAATTTAAATCACCTTTTTAAAAATAATATAATTTAAATAGTTATTTTATAATTAAGCATTAGAAAAACGTTAGGGGAAATGGTGAGGGTGGGCGGAAGGGCGCACAAAATAACAGTAAAAACAGGTAAGACCATCACGTGGCAATATGTGTTGAATATGGACGGACTAACCAAGGGTCTCAACGACGTTGTTATCGAAGGTGGTGACGGCCGCGACGGCGAATACGAGACACGAGATGAACGCTCCAGATCCAGTTGGGCGCAGGTGGTATTAACAATTTGATTAATTTAACATAATTATCAAAGACTTGTTAAAATAATGATGCACAAGACACCTTTGATAACAGTTCCGATAAGGACTGGGCTTCCATGCGAGAGGTTTAAGGTAGGAATAATCACTCGTGTATTTGGTTGAGTCGAATTAAGTGAAAGAATTTTGAGTGGAGTTCATATTTTTTTTATCTTTTGAAAATTTTAAGTTCAATCGAGTTTTGAGTTTATGTTCAAATTTAATTGTAATTGTTTATATATTATGGTATGAATTTATTTAAATTTAAATGATTTTTTAATTATATATATATTTATATTTTTTAGTATGTGTAAATAAAATTTAAATTAATATTTAATAAATTAAATATGACATAAAATTATAAAAAATATATTTATAATGCTATTTTCAAAAGAAATAAATTTGAAGATAAAATATTTGTGAGAGTATAAATGAGTCACAGAATTGACAAGAAGAAATAATTTATAAAAAAAATTATAAAAATTATAATCGAAAGACTAAATTGAATAAAATAAAAATTAAGAGATTAAATTAAAAACGGATATTTTTTGTTAAAAATATAAACTGCACCGAAATCGGTATTCTATTGTTTTAGAAGAGAGTTTGGTTCAATTTTATTAAAAAAATAAGCTCAAAACGAAAGAGAAATGGAGAAACAAAAAAATCAATAAAATCAAAATATTAAATTGCAAAAAATAATTTCTAAAAAAATGAAGCTACATAAATGTTGTACATGATTTAAGAATATGTAGTTAAGATTTAATAAAAAATAACTTAAAATAAAAGAATATAAAAATAAATAAATCGATGACTAAATAGTAAAACAATCAAATAATTTAGATAAAACTAAAACAACTTAAAATAAATAAACATGAATCCTTATAAATCTTAAATTCCTAACCCTAGCCCTAACCTCCCTTGTCGCCCATAGCCGCCATCGCCGACGCCACCCTTGTCATTTCTTTGGTCGACCGTCGTCTCCCTTGTCTCGTGTGCGTCTTTGGATCGTCAGGATGTCACGAATTCGGGGGTTTGAGTTCGTCGAAAATGTGATTTTGTATCGCAATTTTGTTTTTCCTTCGTCGAACATGTGGGATTTTAGGGTCGGTTTTGATTTGACATCGGGAGAGGTTCTGGTGGAGATTCGATCGACTTCAAACAATGATAGTCGACATAGGTATAGGGATTGAAGTTGAAGTTTTCAAAGTTTTGAGTTTTTTTAAGTTTATCAAAAAATTCAATTTTTTATATAAAAAATATGTATTTTTTATTTTAAATAACTATTTAAAAATTATAAGAACGTGACATATATCATTTAACGATAGAATTTAACGTCAGTTACGACCCATATACCTAAAATGATAACGTTTGTAACATTAAACACCTAGATGATTCAAAAAATTTAAATCACCTTTTTTAAAAATAATATAATTTAAATAGTTATTTTATAATTAAGCATTAGAAAAAGGCAAAAGTGTTTGAATAATGCAATGGAAAAAAAATTCTTCACATAGTGCAGTCGAACAATTATTTGCTTAAGTAGGGTGATTGTTACAGTGACCACCATAGGTCTCCAGAAGCACATGACGACCTCCATAGGTCTCCAGGAACACTTGACGACTTATGGAGCTGCAACAGCGAGGGAAGAGAGAAGAGTTGTTGCAACAGAGGAGGTATTGTCGCAAGAAGCACTTGGTGACCTAGGAAACACTTGGCGACTAATAAGGTTAATGTAGCAAACACTTTAGTTCAAGAAATAATTTGGATAGAGCCCTATATGGGGATTTTTTTTTCCAAAGGAATCCTTGGAAAAACGTTAGGGGAAATGGTGAGGGTGGGCGGAATGGCGCACAAAATAACGGTTAAAACAGGTAAGACCATCCACGTGGCAAGATGTGTAGCGCGTTTCCATTACCCGCCAAAAAATGGAAAGTATAAAAAAAACCATCATCTTGTGTTTTCTCATATATATTCATATCACATTCCTGATTCCACCTCTCATTTACAGCCTGCTTCACTCGTTTGTTGAATATGGATGGACTAACCAAGGGTCTCAACGACGTAGTTATCAGCGGTGGTGACGGCCGCGACGGTGAATACGAGAAACGAGATGAACGCTCCAGATCCAGTCGGGCGCAGGTGGTGTCGGGGGATCATGATAACGAACATCGTTGTCTGTCTCAACGGGGAAAACAGGTTTTCCGTTTAGTATTTAAAATTTTCATGGACGGGATCCATTAATTAACGTCAGTAGTAATAGATTATATTGAATAATTATATCTGCAAGGATACGTTTATTTTGTGTGCTCTGGTTGACCTCGAACTGATTTTGCATAAAGAAGCACGGAAAGGAGAATAATGATGGGCGGGAAACTGTTGGTAGAAAGCCTCGAAGACGACCACATAAGGTGCATTTTTACTCTCTCTTTTTATATGTCAAGTAATGTAGTACACATTTGATGGTTTTTAAATCAACACATGAACAGCCTCAATGATAAAAAAAACGTAATTCTCTAAAAGATTTAAGCTCCAATAACTGTGCATACGTTTGGGTTCAAGTAGCAGAAAAAGCAATGTGAGGAGCCAGTGCACTTTCATCAACAATGGTATTCGTAAATGGATCCTATTACACTTGTCCTAGAAGAAGGGGAGACTTTGTGCTACTTTTTAAAATGAGGCCCATAACATATTTATTATAAGATAAAATTGTAAAATATAAGAGTTTATCATATTACGATTGATTCTTACAAAATAAAAAAATTCAATCATATAAATTAAGGGTTCGTTTGTTTTTACTGAAAACGTTTTTCGGAAAATGTTTTTTGTAAAATGAATTACATTTTTTGAAAAGCATTTTCTGTAAAACGTTTTACGATGTTTAGAAGATGTTGTTTAAACCCTTTTTCCACTAGTTGATGATTTTTTTAAAAATTATTTATTACATATATTAAATACAATAAATAATATTATTTATCATAAAACTTAATATTAATATTTTTAAAAGATTAAAATAATTTATTTATTATTAAAATATTATTTTTCTAATTTTATTAATAAAATATTAATATTGTTATATTTTATTGAAATAAAAAATATTATAAATTATATTAATTATTTATTAAAGTAATAGTGTTATATTATATTTTAAAAATATTAATTAGTATATTTTAAATATCTTTATTAAAATATTATTAGATTATTATATTAATATTAAATATATAAATAATATTATTCATTATTATTAATTTAATAATATTATTTCTATGAAATTAATAAATAATATAAATTTTATTAATAATTTATTATATATTATTAAAATAAAAATATAATATCTTATATTATTATAATAAAATTAATTATTTTATCATAATATTAAAAATATAATATTATATTATTAGAAATATTAATAAATATATTTTAATAATTAATATTTTGATTAAAATGATATTAAAATATTTTATTAATATTAAATTCATAAAATAAAATTATTTTGAGTATTAATTGTTTGAAGTAAAAAGTTCGGAAAATGGTTTTCAGAAAATTAGGCCGTAAGTCATTTTCTAAAAAACACAAAGGAAATTCTGTTGATCAGGAAAATGTTTTATGTTGACTAACCAATTTTTTTTCCAACCAAATACTGAAAAATGAGAAAAACGTTTTCTAGAAAACGTTTTACGTAAAACAAACGGACCCTAAGTTTTATCCGCTGAATTTTTCTTCACGCATGTGTATGATAAAAAAATTAATTTTTTTTAGGTTAACAGATTTTGAGGTCAGCATGACATATCACAAGCTACCCTGGCTAATGCACGGCCTAGATCTTATTTGTTTTAGCTGTAGGGTTGCTGTTTTTTTTTATCATTGTGTCTAATACCTATGAATGGAACATTTGCAGGTTCGTAAGGATCACTGGCAAGGGTATAAACGACTTCCCAATGAGCAACAATATGCAGACGAGGTCGGAACAGGTACTAGCATTGAACCTTCAGAAGAGGAACTTTCTGATTTGTCACAAGCTTGCAACAGGCTGTGGCAACTTGATTTAAACCGTTTGGAACCTGGAAAGGATTACCAGATTGACTGTGGTGGAGGGAAGAAGGTTCACCAGAAGGGAGATATGGCAGAAGACAGCCTATTTTATTCTCTGAGTGAAGACATATTTAGAAGACCTACATTCTCTCGTTTCTGTGCTCTCTTAGATAATTACAACCCTAATGTTGGGTGCAAAGAAGTCGTCACAACTGAGGAGATACAAGAGCAGACTGCTTTCATAGAAGAAATCAGTAGAACTGCGCCTATTAAATATCTTTACAGGTACCTTTCTTTGAAGGGCATTGTATCTGAAAACTATCAAGATTTCAAAAGAATGTTGACAAAGTTATGGTTTGATCTTTATGGTCGAGGCGGAGCATCTGATTCCTCTTCCGCTTTCGAACACGTTTTCGTTGGAGAAATCAAGCAATGTGGTGGGGAAGAAGTCACTGGCTTCCACAATTGGCTTCAGGTGTGGATTTTAGTGTATTTTCCCCCTACTCTATAGATATTTACTCCTAATCCTATATTTCATCTTCCAGTTTTACCTAGAAGAAGCAGAAGGAAGAGTTGATTATCAAGGTTATATATTACCCCGAAGGCGAGGGGAAGCCGTAAGTCTCTTCGTCTTCGATCTTCGTGTGTTTGACGAATGTTATTATAATCTTGAAGTGGATTTTTTTTGTCTCATCTATCTGCATCTACATGTGTCCTTTTGCAGCCAGACTCTGAAACACAGTTGCTTTCAATTCAGTTCCAATGGAATGGGGTCCTTAAAGCTGTGTCAACCATATTGATTGGTGTCAGCCCTGAGTTTGAAATTGCTCTCTATACTCTGTGTTTCTTTGGGGGTGAAAAGGATAACCATGTACAGCTCGGTCCATACTCGGTTAACATCAAATGCTACCGGTTCGGGGATAAAATCAGTTCCGTGTTTCCGATAGCATAATGCTTGATTCTCTGCTCTATGTATTACTAGTATTATCCAGAACCCACAGAAACACTAAACACATGTTTGTGTTTCTTGGATCATGTACTTCCAAATTTTGGTAATAATGCATGAATAAAACTTAGGTACATTGCTGGTATGCATTCCCCTATGGCTTAATCTTATGATGAATGAGGAATCAAATTCTGCAATATAGTTTTGAACTTGTGAGCTTCCATGTTTTGAGCAAGCTCTTATCGAACAAACATTGATAACGTACCAACGGAAGGCATTGGCCGTATTATCGAACACATGAGAGTGACTCAGTGTTATGCCATTGCAGCTCCTCTTATCCTTTTTGAAGGAAAAATATCTTAAGCGGCCAATATCAATGTTGGACAAAATATCTTTTGAAGGTTCATCAGATATTTCTGGAGGAAGTTCTAAATGGTAACCCTCCTCGCCTCTTCTCTTATCAATGGGAATATATAGTGTGACAGCTACTCCCTTCTTATCAATGGCACGTTCCTAGGTAAATTGTCTGCTTATCAATTTTCCACAGCAAACTTATCCACCATTTCTCTTAAGTTTAATATTAAAAAAAGTTCAAATTATACATATTTTCTTTTTAGGTGTGCAACCTTTCTTCTGCTCATATAAATATTTAGTGTTTTTAATTTAATGTTTTTAATAATATCATTTTGTGTGCCTACGTCATAATAATCGTTAAAAAATCTTGATTTCGCGTTTATATTTAAAAAAAATTAAAAATGTTATTGTTGAAAAAAACCTAAAAACAACGCATGAAATGAAGGCAGCTGTCCACGACTCCACAGCAGCTAAGCAAAGCATGAACGAGGCCGGCATTGAATTTAACATTTTATGGGAGGACCGACAGTGATTAGTAATTAGGGTTTAGAGATTGTATATTTGAGATTTTAGAGATTTAAATTTAGGATTGAAGAATTTAGAGGTGTGAGGCGATGACAAGGGTGACAGTCTTTCAGTGGGTAAGCGACGACAAATGAGTAATCATTTGACGACGGAAAGGGTGATCACAAATGGCCGGCAATGACAATAAAAGAATTAAAATTAGAGATTTTAAAGATTAATAATTTTGTAGGATTTCAGAAAAAAATTAAATTCTTTTCAAAAATAAATGTTTTTAAGTTTTTTTTAAATAAAATATTTTAAAAATATAAACGTCACATGTATAGGATAACTTAAAATTTTAACGGACAACATGAATCATACACTTAAAATGGTAAAATTAGAAACATTAAGCACCATTTGACAATGAACACCCCTATCCATGCATATGTATTGCTCAAATTCATAATCTCAAATGATACCAACAATCCCTCGACCCTTAAGACTGTGTGTTTCGTGCTCCGTTTTACATTAAAATAATTTTTTAATAGTTGACTTTTAAGGTATTTCAATTCAAGATAGTTTGTGCAATGACTTAATCTATACCTAACAAAACTGACCTCTACAGGAAAAATGGGGATTACGTAAACAAGCTTTGTTGCTTAGTAATTGAAAACCATATATACGCATAGGTTAATGAATATGTTTCTTGCTGGTATACAAGTTTGATGATGTTTGGTTAGAAAAATATGGGACCTCCACTGCATGCTTCATTTGGCTCCACGAAACACCCTTTTCCCCTTTCCATTTTGGGTGCTCATTTTTCTTGAAGTTCCAACTTGATTATTGTTTCCTTACGAGAAAGAAACTTGGAAGGGATAAGATCTTGTTTAATTTGCTCCACAAAACTCCTTTATGGTGACCATGGAGCTTAGATGTTGATTGCCCAACAACCGCTAAAGCTCATTTTAGAACCATTGTTAAAAATTTTAGTTTTTGTTTTATTTTAATATTTCGTTTAAAATTTAACGTTATGTTTTGAAAAAAATAAAAGCTTATGTATTAAAACGGACCCAAATTGAGTTTTTAAAGAAAAATACTAAAATTAAACAAAAATTAAACTTTATGTATGATTTTAAAAAAAAATTAAAAATTTAAGTATTAAAACGGACCAAAACTGATACTTTAAATACTAAATATGTAATTTACTCAAAATTCAATCAAACAATTTAACTAATAATAAATACAAATAAATATTATCGGTTGGCGACGAAGGATAAACACTAACATTTTTATCCACTTGAAGAAAAGCTCTAATAAAAACAGGAGGTTCTTGCCATTCAGAGGGGCATGTCCTCACCTTGTAGTCGTAACGTGCGAGGGCATCTACTGTTCCGTTCGTTTCCCGAGGAATGGAAATAAACTCGACCGACTAGCTTTGTTCCAGCATCTTTTGGATCCTTCTTATGAGAGTCGATTTATTGCTCGGACTAGGGGTAGTAAACAACTTGATAGCCTCTGTCGTAACTGGTTTTCGTCCGGGCACGAATTTTTACTTGGCGGGAAAATTGATGTGAATAAATGGTTTTGAAAATAATTTGGGAGTCGCCATCGGTCTTTTGGGTCAGGTAGGTCGAATACCTAAAAATTATCTTTTAAAAGAGTTTTAAGAAAACATCAGTTAAAAGATTAACTGATCTGCGTTTTAACCAAAAATTCGTTCTTTTTAATAATAAAAAGGGATTCGTGGTCGGTTACGTTTAGGGAAGGATTAGCACCCCTACAACGCCCAAAATTGGTACTTTTTAATTATAAATTGTCTCTATTATTAGAAATTTTAAAAATGCAAAATATATTTAATTTATAATCCTATTATTTTAAAATTATAATTATGAGAAAAAAATAATTTATATAAAATATTTATCTAGTTAGAAATATCAGAAAATGACTTCGAGGTGTCTTAAGACAGCTCTTTTCTTCGATATTAATAAATATTAATATAATAATTTAAATAAAATTAAAATTATAAATTTTTTATAATATTTAATTTTAAAATACCAGAATAGGACATCCAGTTGTATTAAGACTGCCCTTTTCTTCGATATTGAAAAATAAATAATTTATGAAAAAAATATAAATTATTATTTTTTATATATATTTATATGACTACATAATAATAAAAATAATATTTAAATATAAACAAGTACAATTAAAACATAAATAATCAATAATAAAAATAAAATTAGAACTATATATTTAAAAGCAGTAAAACTTTATGAAAATATTTAAAATTAGTGACTAAATTATAATCTAATAAAATTAAATACCTAATTCGTAATTATTTAAAATTTCAAGGATTAAACATGTTATTTTTCTTATTTATTAATTTGGTGACTAAAATAAAACTATATAAAATTCAAATATTAGATTAAAATAAATTAAAACATACTATTCAGATTAAAATATTAATTATTAAAATTAACGGACTAAATCTGTTATTTACCCTAAATATATTATTTTAATACAAAAGACTAAAATAAATAAAATTAAAATTAAAGAACCGAATTAAAAGGATTATAAATTGATTTAGTGACTAAAATGTAAAGTTTACAAATTAGGAGGACTGCGGACGGGATTTAACCTTTAAAAAATTACAAACAGATCCCTCCCCAAAACGGCGTCGTTTGGGGAGGGCTATTTAAGCCCCTTCATAGCTGGCCCGAAGGGCCAGCAGCTCATTGTTCTCATTTCTTCTTCTCTCTCATAAACGAGAGAAGAAGAAGCTCTCTCGGCTCTCTAGCTTCCCTCACCGGAGGGAAGCCGGTCACCGGGCGGCAGCTGTCTTCCGCCGTAGTTCTCACCGCCGGCCACCGCATCCGGTGGCCGGAAAAATCTATTTTTACACCACAATGTAGATCGGACCGTCCTAATGACGGTTCCGGTGATCTTTTCTTCTAAATAGCTCCCGATTGGAGCAAATCTAAGAAAGTACCTTCGATTTTCGAAGGTTTTGGTGAGGTACGGCGGTCGTGGCTTCCTCGGTAAGCTTTTTTTTTTTGTTGCTTTCTGTTTTTTTTTGTTCTCTGCTTTTGCTGGTTTTTTTTTGTTTGCAGGGGAACTGAGGCTTTATAGCCTCAGTGTGGCTCTCGTCGGACCGGTCTGAAGGATGAAAAGTTCGGTGAGTCACCAAAGCTATGCTGGTGACTCACCATAGAGGAGACGTGGATGGTCGGGGTTGTGGCAGCAGAGCTTCTGGAGGCTTCTTCGGGGCGGCTTCGTGGCATTGGTGGAGCGTAGGCAACGGACGTGTGGCCTTCTGGAACCAACGGCGGTGGCTGAGGACTTCTGGGGGCGACGGCAGCAGTAGTGCTAGGGTTTAGAAACCCTAGCTGAAACCCTAAATTAGTTTAGGGTTTCCTTTTGGGTCTGGGCCGATTCTGGTTGGGCTTGGGATTTGGGCTTGTAATTTTTTAATAATAATAATAATAATACATATAATAATATATATATAATAATAATAATAATAATAATATAAATAATATTTAAATGAAAAAAAATGAGTATCTTCAGCTGCCCCTCTTTGTTTATTCTTGTGTTAATAAGAATATAGCAAAGACGAAAAGATAATAAGTTTTTTTTTCATTTGACTTTACTTGATTATGATGCAGATGTTGATCTAATTCTTCTTTGGGATTAGTTCTTCTCATTATGAACTTTTCCACTGGGGATGATGTTGACCTATTTCCTTCTGTGATAGAGTCATTCAAAAGATTGAATAAGCTCTTCTCATTATGAACTTTTTCTTCAGATGATGAGTTCTTCTCATTATGAACTCGAACTGGAAAAGCTGATCCATCAAGTGATGGATTTGAGCAAAAGGTTGAACAAATTCTTCTCATTATGAATTTCTTCTTCCTTCTTCAGATGATGAGTTCTTCTCATTATGAACTCTACCTGGCAATGTTAATCCATCAAATGATGAATTTAAACAAAAGGTTGAACAAATTCTTCTCATTATGAACTTCTTCTTCCTTCTTCAGATGAGTTCTTCTCATTATGAACTTTCTTTGGAAAAGCTGATCCATCAAATGATAAATTCAAGCAAAAAGTTGAACAAATTCTTCTCATTATGAATTTCTTCTTCTCTTTAG